CCCCGCCAGCCGCTCTGGAGCCCACGGCTCGGTGGCAGAGCGTGGAGAAACCCATCATCACATCAACAATCATTGACCTCCTGCACTGTTCACACTCAGGCCACACAACCCAGCCCGCTCTCGTATCTTATTTCAAATCTGACCCTTCGGAAGTAAAACCCCGTCCTTCACCCTCCTCCTGCCCCAGCCACTTCGCAGAGAACAGAAACAATCCAAAATACATCTGTCCTCGCTTTTGGTCATGGCATGACATGTAGAGCACCTCAAAGTCCCTGCAAAGGAAAGATGTGCTCAGAGCTCTGGAGCAGAGAGGGATTCACAAGTTCTGCATTTTATTCCAAACTGATTTTACCAACTCTGTGGTCAACAGCTTTACCCTTGCAATACCCCTCCTTCCTCTTCTTGAGGAAGAGGCATTTCGCAGAAGTGAGAAAGTGTTAACTGTTATTAACTGTTAAGTTCTGAGAATTTAAGGCAAAAAAGGACATATGCAGCAGTTTCAAAAGCCACGTCACACACGTGACCTGAATACCCCTTCTTTAAATAAGCGTAGAGGTTCCCAGCTGTCCCCACCAGCCCTCCCTGGACAGTCACAGGCAGGGCTTGGAGAAGCACCCTCTGTGTGCCCATACCTCCCAGTAAGCAGTTGCCTACAGGCTACCAGAGAAGCCACACCATGGAAGAACCCATCCAGCAGTCAAGCAGAAAGAAGAGCTCAACGCAGAGGCAGAAGGACGGCTGTCGGGCTCAGTCCAGCCCGGGGCACCCAGAATGACCTTGGACAGCCATCAGGGAAGTGGTGAGCGCCTGCCTGGCAGCACAGGGCTGCAGAAACTGAGGAAAGATTATTTAGCGCCCAGAGGAAAACAAGCAATAGTTCTGGTTATTTCTTTTGGATATTTTATTGTTTTCTTTACGTCTCAGGCAGGACTGTGAGGTGTTTGCAAACGGAAATTTTGTTCCATCACAGAAGTGCAGCTGGATGCACGGCTGCTTTGTCAGGGAGCCACCACCTCACTCCTTCCCCCTTCCAGTTATTATTTCTCTTTGCTAACCCCAGAGGTCTCGAGGACAGTGCTCAGCGGCAGGAATCCCTTCCACCTGTCAAGGTAATTACCGAGGAGCTGCTCACACTGCCACAGAGCTCAAGGGGCGAGGACAGCACGTCGAACCAGCTTTGCAACATCACTGATTGCCTTCCCGCAGCGGAAGACAAGCAGTGTCCATCTCCCGAAAGGAGGGGCCATCCACTTTGACTACAGGTCTCAGAACAAGCGACAGATCTAAGCACTCCCACCTTGTACTCACCTTTTTCTAAAGCCAACAGATACCATCTTCACCAATTTTACCTCTTTGGTTACGAGGTGGTACATACATGCAATATCTGCTCTACCAAGCTTCTTCACAATCACCAGACCAGCTTTTTTCTTTGCTTTCCTTCCACAGCCAAACTCTCCCAAAAGTCTGTGTTCCAGACTACCAAACCCCAGTCCTCTGCTGAGACTGTAACCATTAGCAAGCATCCCTTCTCTATACAGAAACTACAGCTATAGAGTATAAAAAAAATGATGGCTTACAATAAAAAGCCTGTGGTTTTCTGTCTGACACAACCCACGTTAGAAGCGCTGCCGGAAACATTTATATTCCATGTTTGGTTGCCCCTCTTTCACCAGTCTTTTCTAGATTCAAACAAATCAACCACCCAAAGTTTTGATTGGGTCATCTCAAGAGACCGGAAACATCCCCTACAGATCTTTGTGCCTTTCAAAATATGTACAGCCAGAAGCAAGATGATTTTTCAACCTACACTTTTTCAGAATCAGGTTAAGAAAAACACAAGGTCAGTCTCTTAACAGCATTGTCTCTTTCTAACCTAACTCAAACGAAGGGGATCATTCTTTATTCACCAGGAACATGCCCACAGCAGTGCAGGAGAGGATTTGGAATTAGCTACCTGGCAAACGAGTTGCACGGTTCTTGTTCTCCATAGAGAACTGCCTCCCTCTCACTGCCAGAAAGCACATAATTTCTTTACCTGCTAATATTCTTTGCCACTAATCCTCAGTGCGTCTGTCCAGACAAGTAGGCATTACGCATTCCATTGGCAGGAGGAGAATAAATACTCAACTTGTCTGGGCTGACCCACAGCAGAGAAGGGAAGCTGGTATTTCACAATGCTAGTGAGAAATGCCCGCGCTAGGAGATACCGAGAAGAGTGGGGACAGACTCTGGCCGACACACCAGCAAACGCAGCTTCTTTGTAGTTCATTATCATGGAAAAACAGCTAAAACATACTTTTCACAGCTCCATGCACCAGCATCTAAACAAATCAAAGAGCAGACCAACCTGCCCCTGGTCTGTCACAGCAATTAGGTTGCAAAGGTCAAGGTTTTTAATAACTTAACCGTGTTTGGGAGCTACTTATTACTGCTTCATTCCAGTCAATTATTAGTAATGAGTAAAACACAAGCTCACGCTCTCCCAGGAAGTCCAAGAGGGATGGCAGGCACTGGGAACAAAACTTAGCCCTTAAAACCAAACTTCAGACACACTGTCAGAGATCCTCCCCATCGGCTGTCACTGAACCACATCCAGAGGAGAAACAGATGCTGAGGAAACCCAGAATTAGACTCTAACTTAATAAAATGGAAAAAAACCCCAACAAGCTATTGACCTACCAGGCCTCCAGCAGCAGGTGATTACAGTGTGCAGACAGGCTGAACAGCTCAGCCTGGACCCATGTCGAGCAGCTGACTCCATCGAGAGCAGATGGAGCCAACTGCTGGCTCTGCCCTAACCAGACCCAGCACCCTTAGAGAGGGATCACCCACCTGAGGAGGAGAGCTGGAGTTCACGTTGTCTTTTGGTGGACTCAGGGAAGGCGCTTCTCCTTGAAAACCGCTACTGTTCTGTGGCTGACAGAGTTTCCTGAAAAAACAGAATTCAAGGGCTGTTCAAATCCCGTGCTTGACAAAGCAACAGATGGTATTTCAAATCCTCCTGCGGAGCAAAGAGCCTTTTTGTGGGCTCAAATTCTGACTGCTTGAAGATGCCATGAAGTAGCTTGTTCAGGTGCTTATTGATCTCTACCAAGATCTAGGAAGAAGAGACTACTACAAGAAAATATCAATCAACACCATATGATAATTGCTCATCTCTTTCTGGCCTTCCCATGATTTCTGTAATTCTCTGGGAACAGAGGTAACACCTTGGACTGACACTGCTGGTGTTACAGCAGGGAGGGAGGAGGCAGGCTGAGCTATCAGACACACGGGAGGACTCTCTACCAAGGATGCAACTTAGTTTCCAACAGTTTTAATTCTTTTCTCTTGAACTGGTGACATAAGCATTACAACAAATGAATTACAACCTTTGAAAAATAATCTGTATACAGATTAAAGTTCAGTGCCAGTTTTTACTGAAGTGTATCGGAGATATATATGTATATACACACACACACTTGCTGATGATTGAAATATAGAGCGATAGCAACTATTTAAACTAGTTTCTTCCGAGTTTGTCTCACCCAGTTAAAACTGATTTCACGAGAAAATTCAGAAAGCAAGAACACTGAAAAGGGGCCGAAAGTCAAGCTCAGATGTTGAGGAATAAGTTCTCCCACTCATTAGCACCATTAAAACAACACACTACAGGAACAGCAGTGCTTTCAGAAGCAAGCCCCTCTGGGTGCAGGAAAAGCAGGATTATAACAGGAACTGTCACGGTATTATTGGTCCACTAAGATTTACATTTAGGGCTTCAGAATAACACTTTTAAGTTGCATCATGTAAAACAGCACTACTCTGGTCTGTATTTGCAGTATTCCACAAAGAGCAGAAACCTCTGGTAGCAAAAATTTCAGTGCAACGCGAGTCATTCTGATCACTAAGCGCGTTAAAGCACGTTCACGCTGGGTATCTCCGCCCCCCACCGCCCAAGGGGGCTCTTCTAGATCTCAGAGAAAAGTTTCGCAGCACCCCAGCTTTGCCCTGCTCTTCTGGCACCAGCCAGACCGCCCCTGTGTTAATCACCCAGGAAAAACTACTGTTGCATCAAGTTGCAGCTGTCGAGCTGAAAAAAAACAAATTCAGGGTTAAAGGTTTTAATAAACTGGCTCTGCAGTCATTTTGTCACCAGCTGTACAGCCGAAATAACCGACGTCTAAATTCTTCCACGAGAGACTATAATCAGCTTTAAAACACACACATATTTTTCAAACATCGGGAAGATTATTTCGGAGATAGAGCCCCTGACTTGACGAGATTTTCTTTTAACCTGAGCTTGAACCTTCAGCCGTTCTGCAGCAGTGTTTAGTTGTTTAATTTTATTTAGAACAATCCCAACAGCCATGGATCAACTCAAGGAAACTACTGGGAGACTGTGAAAACAGGAAGGGGAACAGTGATATTCCATAAACACCGCAGTGAAAGTGGCTTTTCGGATGCCGTTTGACTAGACCGAGCAACCTTGTCGTGTCTCCTAACACGTTAATTATGGATTTAAAAGAAGTGAATGAAAGACGACTACTTTCGATTCAGCAGCTCTTGTAACGGTGGAAAAACATTTCACTACGATGGTGGAAGAAGGATGGAAAACAAACACCAGGAGGAAAAACGAGTTACTCCAACATGGGCACTGTTAGATAGAGTTTTAATATTTGCAGATGTGCTGATTATTGCAGCCGTTGAACCATCAAGTGGCAACTGGACCTGAAAACCAAGAGGATGTTTAACAATTGGCTGGATCTAGGCAACCACGCAGACTGCCTCGGCCAGCTACGTCAAGTCCTACGTCTGGTGCCTGCGCCCTTTTTGTGAATGTTTTTCTACTGTCTTCAGCCCTACATGTTTTTTCCATTTTGTAGCCTCATTACCTGCATTGGCCGAGCGGGTCTTTGTTTGTACAGTTGAATACATCCTTTCCAAGGTCTATTTTTAGACCTTCGCATAACTGAATGCCACAATTCTACAAAAAGCAGTAAACATGGCTTTCTACAGGGAGAAATTAACTTTTCTGAAAGCCGTAAAGATTGCATGGCACTTGTATTTTTCCATTTAATTATAATTCAACATCAAGGCCGTTTAAACGAGTTTGATTTCTCTTCAGCACGCCAAAGCACTTTAAGCACAAGTTTCTGTTGGTTTAACAAAGTCTCATCTCCAAGCCAATTGTGCTTTCAAATCATGGAAACTGTTCAAACAGAGCATGCTCTACTTAATCTTAACCAAAAAAGTGCCATAACATAAATCTCAAAAACGAGTCAAGTGAAATCTCTATCTGCATTACAAAAATCTGTACCAAGTCAGCACAAACACACTGAAAACCCAGAGAGGGAAATATAAACACTCAGAGCAGACTTCTCCTTTAGAAACCTGGGAGATACATTCTCTTTCCCCGCCAGCCAAAAGCTTCCAAGCTTGGAGTGAAGCTTCACCTAAGGAAAAATATCTGAAGGGGACAAAAAAAAAAAAAAAAAGGTGTTGAGCAACCAACAAGACAAAGCTATCATCTCAACTACCTCTGTTAAGGGCTATTTTCAGGAAGGAACGTGAGAATAGGTATCCCTTGGACAGTGAGGATTACACTGCTCAGGCAGCAGGACAACCAGCACGTGTTTTAGGGGATTTATCTCTACAGAACTGCCTCGTGCTTTTTCACGCATCCCTTACTTCAATCAAATCTTCACCTTGCGGGGCGACCGTGACACTAACAGAATTTACAACACAAGAAAAAGAGAGTAAACAAACATCCAAATAACACCACAGAAGTGAAGCAGCAAAGTCTCCAAAGCAAAGAGCTCAAGAAGAACACGGACATCCACAGCAGCAGAGCAAGATGGCTCGGAGATGGCAACATCTCTCTCCTTGCCTCCAACACACAACGGCACTCGGCACAGGAAGCCACGTACAAGAAGATATGGAAAAAGGAAAGGAGAGTTTCAATGGAGAGTTGAGCTGGACACATTTGCCATAATCCGTTCTCTCCCAGGATTTTAAACCACTTTTTTTTCCCCCCACTTTTAATTGTGACAGCTTTTGTTCCCCATCCAGGTTCTTCCCCTAGCTTCTAGTGTAATGATTTAAAGGCAACCTAGAACCATCTGAAGAGCGCATCCACTTTGATATTCAAGTTTAGTCAACTTCTACAGCTGCCTGGATAACAAAAAGATTTACTTTGTGTGAAAATAAGTCAAACACTCAACTTACCACAGTTCTACTGACTTTGGTTACCCTGATTTACAGCAACTGACCTGGCCCAGTATTTTCAAGCTCCAGACAGTATTACAGAGAAGATGGAATAATTACCGCACGAGTATCCTCTTCAGCAACTGCTGATCTCCTTCAGAGTAGCCAGGCCAGTCCTTCTGCACTTCTTTGTATACACAATCTTTCAGTGTGAAAGTGCTGTCCTTGGCACTCAAATTTGCCACCTGAAACAAAAGTAATTTGCAAAAAAAACCTGTCAGGGTTTAATTTTCTCACTTGTTCTAACAGAAGAGATCTAAGATGTAGGCGAAATCTCAGCAGACTTAGCAGCAGTTAGCAGTGTCAGAGACCAAGGAGAGACTTTATACTTCATTTCCTAATTATTTAGATTATTTAATCATGTGGTGCCTTTCCTTTTGCCTTGTCATTGCAATAGTTTATTATGAGTTTCCAAAGCATATCCAGTTTACTGGGAAACAAGTCCTATCTAAACAGATTATTCAGCTTGGATCATCTGGAACAGTACAACACCAGTTTATGGAAATACCTGGAAATAAACCCTCATGGGAACAGGCAGTTCACTTATCACACCTGTCCAACAGCTAAAATGGTGCGCTTCACTAGCTGATGGAGGAACTCTTGAGGCGATAACTTAGTTAACAATTACCAGAAGATAATTTCTCACTACCAAGCCAGTAAAACAGGTGACAGAAAGCCACCTTCTCGAGAAGCAGGGAAAAGAATGCCTTGCAGACATAATGCATTAGGGAGCTTGCAGATTACACTGTGCAGCTCAGTGCATGAGGATCATCTGCTGGATTTCATGGAGGAGAACTTTTCCAAGGACTACTTCAGGGCAAGAACAAAACCTGTGATTACCAGCTTACAACCCAGGGTTTTACAATAAAGCATTGCACCTAAATCACGGGCTGCAGTTAGCTTGGTACACTTGCATGAGAGGCTTTCTGACATTTTATCCAATTCTATCGTGTAGTTTTCCCCCCTCTAAAACTCTGCATGGTGCCTACACGGACAGGAAACACTGCTGGAACCAGCAGAATTGTATTAGAATGGAAACAACTTGTTCAGAGTTATCCCACTTTAATCAGTCTTTCCACAGCTTGACTCAAAATTTAACTTCTTGCTGCTGGTTACACATCTGAAAAACACAACGTTAGCACCAACCAAAAAGCTCCAAATTAAGCTTTCACGGATAACGCCTTAGCGAACCTGTCTCAGGTGACTGTGGAGCACTGCAAGTTTAGAAAGAAAACAAAGCCTTAAATTTGTTTTTGTAACAGGGCTACGGAGGCAGAGGTGCCAAACGCTGTGCCCGCAGCCAGGCTGATCTACCAGCAAAGGCTGCAGCCGCGTCCCAGCTCCGCCGCTTTAGCCGCTCAGTTTGACAACTGTGTTCCCCTTGAAAAGGGAAGATGCTTTTATTCAGTCAGTGGAGACCTTGTGCATCCGTTTAAGGATTAGTGTTCTCCACTGCCCGCTCCGTGCAGGAGACCCTTGTGCTTATGGATTTCTATCACCCACGCAGCAGTAAGGTAGCCTCAGAAAAGGAAGTGAAGGAGCAGAAAGTCCTGAATTAACTGAAGATGCTGTTAATTCCTCTGCTTTTGCTTTAGGCAGACTATGACCTAATATTAAAAAAAAACATCTATGAATTTAAATGCAAAAAGCTGCAGAACTAATACAGCAAAGCTCTCCTGATAAGTGAAAAACAGAAAGCAGTTATCAGTTTACATGACAAACACTTTGTTTTTCCTTTCAGTTTTGTCAGCTTTCCAAAACCCTGAGCCAAAATACAAGAAGAATTTGAGCTGTGTTTTACATTTAGATATCCCAGTAAACATGCCCCAGAGACAAAAGCAAAGCCAGATTATTTTTCAGAAAAAAAAAAAAACAAACCACCCTGCTCTGAGAATCTCTCCAGTTACTGCCTCGTTCTACAGCGGGAGGCAGGCTGCTCGGCAAGGCTTGTAGCCCAGGCAGAAGAACGACTCCGATTTTTGTCTGCACAGAGGCTGAGAGCTGCTACCTCCGTGTTTTGCTGGTGTGGGACTCCGCAAGCTCCACCCCAGGCTTCCCAAAAATAGAAACCTTGCAAAACGAGGCAAAAAGGCCAGCAGGAACACCGAGTCCTATGAGAGATGCAAGAGCACAATGAAGCCCACACCTAGACGTATTTAGACACGCAGCTTTAACGCAGCCTGTAATTTTTAGCTTATCTGTGTGTGCCTGTGGACGGCAGCCCTGGTAGCACCGAGAAGGAGATTAAGTTTACGAGCAACGGGTTTACACCCAGATCAGCGTTTGGCCCCACCGGACTGACGCTGCCGAACACACCGCCTGCCTGCCAGGGGTTTGGGAGAGCATCAGTAAAAGGTGATGATCAGAAACAGTATTTCTAGTACTAAATCTATTTATGGTGTTCTCGAAAGAATTCGAGCACTGCTGGAAAATTAAGGGCTACAGGATTAAAATCTAGGGAAGGAGCAAGTTGTGCCAGCAATAACTCCATTTTCAATACGACCTGCCCTGTGCCCTTGGGCAAACTAACTCCTCACTGTCTTTCTTTTCAGCTATGGAAAGAAGTTAAAAAAAATAAATATACAGAAGAGGGCAGCTGCAGCATTTAAATAAATATCCGTGATGTGTTTTGCACTGCGAAAGCAATAAAGGTATTTACTGCAATTCCTAAAATGGCACCTTCAGCATGACTCAAAGTGTTAAGAACTGATTCAGCTCAGAGACAGCTTTCACACTTGACATACAAATAATATGCTTTGCAAGAAGCTGCATGATCTTCACACCTAACCAGTTGCACTTCTAAGCAGGAAAGGCATGGGTCTGAACAATACAAAGATGTAAAGCAGGTATCAACACAGAACGTGTTTCTTTATGTCCACGTTAATAAAAATATATCGATTTATAGGCTGTAACAAATCAAACAGCTCGTAAGTCCTCTGTTAGATAATTCTCAAGGCCAACCAAACGTGTTCCTCTTAAGTGACTGATCTGGTGAACCGAAATCATACAGCTTAGTTGCACACCCCTACGCCGAGGCGTAGGCACGAGAGGCTTCTGCTATCTCTAGCCAAACAGCGACGTGAGTTGCGAACTCCTGTCGGACGCAGCCTTTAAAGAGACGTTCAGCTGCAGCCTCCAGATACACAGGTTACGTTCAGACTAACACAGAAGTTACTACCCTTCTGAGAAGACAGTTCCCTTTACCTAAATAGTTGCCTTCATCAGAGTACAAACCTGTTGCAGAAGGTTGTCCAGCAAATCCTTGTCCTGCTGAGAAAGTCCATCCTTCTGCAATCTGAGAATAAGTTCAGGTTTCTTATAAGGCTTTAGTGCCAGTAAGTGCACAACCCTATCTTTGAAGGGTCTCTGAGAAATCGCACTATTGCCTCTCTTTATTGCACTGGCAAGGTTGACTGGCGTTGGGCGCTTCCTGGAGGGAACAGCATCGGAAGCTCCTGGTGCAGGTTTACGCACCTGAACCTTTTTGCCTAAAATGAGATGAGAATAGTGAACTGCAGCAGTCACCTTGCAAAGGCCAGTGGTCTGTCAACACGTATATGGAGTTCATTACACCACCTGAAGTGCCAGAAGATGACAATGAAGGACAAACACAACCAGAACACCCCATCCATTCCGACATGCCGCCGGAACGAGTATCCCATGAGTTTTATGATTCATGACAAGCTTGTAACAAGTAAACAGCAACACCAGGCTCTGGAAACCTGAATGTTATTGGCCACAAGCTTACATAAAGCTCTCTTTGTTTGCTGGCTTTTCATTTATCCCAAGTGCATGTATCCCCATGGTTAATCTAACCACTTTTTCCCCTCCCTATGAGAAGAAAATTCTGCATTATTATGTAGAAGAGTCGAAATACGGAGTGGAAAGACCAGAACTGGTCAACGAGCGGCTCCCTGCTGCTGATCTCAGCAAAAACGCTACTCCAGCAGATGTTTCTGCTTTTAGAACAATAGGAACTTTATGGGGCTGGGTCCACCTCCCTTCCCCCCGCCAAACACAGCCACATGAATGGGGTCTAACACCGCTACATTAGCCTATTCATTAGTGTGCTGCCTATTCTGACAGAATAACTCCTTCTGCATTGTAGTAGTAACTGCTCCACCCTCCAATTACATTTACGTATACGTGAGAACATAAAGCTGCCTCAAAAGTTCATCTCGAGCCCTCAGAGGCAGTTTCCTCGACTCCATCCCCAATGTGGCTCTTGAAGCCTGACAGCATTACATAAGAAGTCATTTTTCCCATTCCTACCGAAAAACAGCTTTAACTGGAACCCTCAAACAAGTCCTGCATCACTTACTAAAGCATAAATCAAAGACTTTTACTATTTTGAATACAGACAGGTCACAAAGGCAGGTTCCTGCTACCAAAGGTGAAACCAGCAAATGGAAAAAGAAAATTTGTAAGTTCCAAGGTTTAAAACATGGAGATACTACCAATATCACTTCGGTTCAAGGAATTGACCTTTACTAGGACAAATGCCCAGCATTTACTGAAAGAATTTCGGAGGTTTATTTCGGCATGGCACTTCCCCACTGCTAGGAAGCAATGTGTTCAACTGAGTCATCTGAAGATACTGGTGATTGTCTGCAGTGTTTATTTTACTGAAACGCAGATTGCATCACTGAGTCCCCATTTCCTGGCTTTCTATTACGCACCACACTGATGCAAGTAAGTACAACCCATCATCGGCAGGGCTGAGTTAAGATGAGAGGGAGAAAAACAACAATTCACATGTTAAAACATCCCAAAATTCAGAGATCAACTGGACTTCATTTCCAGAAACGGGACGAGAGAAGATTCGTCAGCTTTCTAGAACTCCCTTAACTCTTGCCAGGTCATGAACAGCAAAAACACATTGGGATGTTTCCACTTAAGGCTGGAGCCAAAACGCGCAATGATAGGAAAAGAAAAAACCAAGTTGAGCCAAAACACGAAGCCTTTTAAAATATTTATACATGTGCATATATATAGATGTATACACACACATTTAGTGTATACATAAGCACACACATCCCCCTACAGACACATCAGCTATCTATTTACATATGTATTCTTCCAAGTGTTAGTGCACATCTATACTGTTCTGTTGATCTCCAATTTCAACATTTCACATAAATTCTTCCACATCTGAGCTGCCTGGAACGACTCCACTGACGTTTAAGTGCTGAGCTGTGTGTTCTCATGGAAATGTGAGAGCCAGCCTTCTCCCTCCAGACTATCCTGCAAGTGAATCAGCTGACGGTGCTGGCACACCGAATACGTGCGTACCCCACGAGAGGACTGTCCTTGCCCAGGCTCCTTCTTCTCGGGCCAGTGCTTTCCTCCTGTCTTAAACACTGACATCTTCTATGTGCAGCATGCACGCCACTCCGCTGCTTTTAACATGGTTGTACCTCCTTGTGTTTTAGCAAGACTATTTTTAAATCACAAGTTTTGCTGTATCTTTCCGGGAAGCAATTTGCTTTGAGAATCTCCCTCACAAGCCTAACAACTTCATCCACTTACTGCAATGTTCTCGAATATAGGCTAAACAAAATAATCTTCTAGTCTACAGGAAATCAATGCATTTCCTTCCTGATTACTATCTTATTTCTCAGCTTTGAGCACTTGGCTGATAAAACAATGAGTCAGGGTCAGCTCTACATTTTGCAACTCACCCTTCTCATCACAGACATCCTCTGAGAAGACACTGGCTACAGATCACATGGGCTGCAGAAAAAACAGCTGGCTCAAAAAAAAAAAACAAACCAAAACCCAACTCACAACCAGACTCTGCTTTCTGGTTAATATTTGTGCCCTGAGTTGGTGACCAGACTGAGGGTAAGCAGGGACCTGAGCCCAAAGCTCTGCAGGCTCCTTCTGAAGCCCTCTGATATCTGCCACGGTTTTATTTCCTCCTCTAAGATTCTCCTTTCGTTGTCACAATAAGATGGTTCTAGGCTGGTGGCAGCAGCACTGCTTTAGTCTCTTCACTTATTAACACAAGTGCTTTACTATCTGTGTCCTAGATGTTGCATGTTATGGTCCCGAGTGCAGGCACACACCAGCTGCGTGACGGCAGCGGTGGTGTGCTCTTGCTGACTTTGTTGGGAGCACAGGCACTTCTGAGGGATCGGCAGTAGGTGCTCAGCATCACTTCATGACAAATACAGAATAACTAATACCAGAGTGATGTGACTGCACACAGACGATCCTCAGAGGCCACGCAACCACCACCACACACCTTCTAGGGTGAAGACAGGAGCTGTGAAGAAGTCACAATACAAGGAGAGTAGCACCCTAATAAGTCAGACACCCATAAGGAACCATCAGGTACTCATTAAAGACTTCCACGGTCAAGCAAACAAACGTCAGCGTTTGACCTCAGAAGCTAGTGGAGACGCCCCCAAATCGAGTTGCTGCTTACCGACGTATCTCCCCCCAGGTTTAATGACTATAGCGCTCCGGCTGCGAGTCTCCTCCTCGGCCTGTGCCATGCTTTGCCTTGCCTTCTGGTAGGAATCGTCAGTAGCACACACGGTGATTTTATCCTGTATGCTTCCAAGGCAATCCAAATGGATATTGCCATTGCTGCAAAAGAAACGCAATGGAAAAGATACTCCCCACACTGCAAACAGGCACATCTCTGTCACTGGTGAGTGACTGAGGCTGCATTATCTAAATAACAGGAGAGGACAGAAAGATGCTGAGAGGTAAACAGATTCTTCTGTGAGTGCCTCCTTACCTAAACACGCACACGCAAACAGATTAGAAAGACACTAAAAAGAAAGAACATGTGAACACGTATTAAGTTTTGTTCAGGTTTGTTAAGGATAAGATTCTACAGAAGATAAAAAAAAAATACAGTTTGATCTTTTGCTGTACCACTCACCTAGATACATACTGCTGGATACAGTCAAAACTCCCTTGGGGGCTGTCCTTGCCAATATTTGAAAGATAAAATGTGAAAGTCCGCACTTCCGTAGGTCGATCAGGCCTTGGAATTGCAATGTGCTGTTTGAAGAAGAAAAATATTGGTCACTTGAGTAGCCCACACTAACACAAAACTCAGTTTTTCCGCAGTCACTAGGCTTTTAGTGACTTTTTTTACATTTTGCAACCCACCACAAGTAAAGCATACAGACTATTGCACAGGAGACTAGAGTGAGAAGCTACAAGAAAGATTTAAGTTAGCAAAACTGTACGAAAAGATAAGGTACCATAGGCAGACAGACATAAAGAACAGCAAAAAGACAGCTATGTCTACAACAGAAGAGAGGGCTGAGCTGGTGGCTCAGCACCTTTCCAAGCAGAGCCCACAATAATCTTGTCCTAGGAATCTGACCCAATTCTTTTGATTCAGGCTCAAACCAGACTTGCTACCACTGTTTATATTCAATTTAAAGCACTTGAGACTTGGTTCTTTAGAATTAGTGATCCAGCACTAAACATAGTACAAGCCAGGTCACTAGGTACCACGCTTATTCTTTTTTAAGAGATTATAATTCCATAACGAGATTTCATGGCTCACAGCAGAGTGTGATGCTGTTGCTAAATTAAATATTTAATCAAGCATTAAGTGTGCTCTGCAGACGACTCTACAGCGATCTGCATTGTTTTTCTCCCCCCAGCCATTCATTTTTCAAAAGGGAAACTGTTTCCCCTCTGCGTACAAGATCCAACATAAATCTTAGCATCTGAGCTCTACTATCACATCAATATTTGATAATTAAGATGGCTTCCAGAACACGAGACAGAAGAAACATCAGCTTCAACCTATTTTAGGCTACGCTCTACCACACAGATTTATATTTACCCAGATTGCCACATATATGCACAAAATATACATGCCTAGCAAACCAACTCGTGGCATCCACAGATGACTGTGCTCCATAAAAGATGACTGCTGGCACAGGAAGGGTTCTAGGTGGTTTCCCTTTGACTTCAGACATCTACAGCCGCCTGGAAACCCAGTGCATCTGTGCCACTCTGCTAAACCACAGGGATGTTCTCAGAAGCAGCAAGAACCGTTTGTGTGACCTGCACCGAGCTGAGCCCGTGCAGCATTTTCCATTCGCTCTCCGTACGGACCGGCCGGCCCTCGGAACAGCCACCCTTTATTGCAAAGCAGCGAGCCAAGAAGCCCAGACCCCAGCGATACAGAAGGACAAGTTATCCCCCACGCAGTCCCAGGATCCGGATCTAAAAATACCCAGAGCAGATTTGGTGACGATCCGGGCGCCGACGGGCAGCGCTGACCCTCCGGCAGCAGCTGAGCCCCGTTATCTCCCCCGCCAAACGCGCGCCGGCAGCCTCGAGCCCGTAATCTGTCCCGGCACCCTCTGCCCCCACCCAGCCAGGACGAATACAATTCTCTTCTGCTTTGAGTTGAGAAAATGCACAAAGTCCTGTCAACAGCAGACTGGGAGTATTTTGCAGTTGGTGCCGTTCTCCCACTAGTTATTTCGGTGGGAACGGGGCAAGAAGGTGAACATGACGGGTCCGTTCAGCTCCTGGTGCCGCGCGGCAAGGGAGCGGGTCGTGCTGCACGCGACGGGTTTGTAAAATAAAACCTGGAGGATGTAACCAAATCCTATATCCACATACTAAAACGTAATTTGCTTCTAGCTCCTCATTTACTGTTGTAAAAACCTGGGCGGTTTTGTAGAGTTTCTGCAGCTTCTTCAAAGGACGTAAAACGAGACAGGAGCCAGAGAGTCACTTTAGCGTTGAGCGTTGCTCGTTCCAGTACTGAAAAGTGTAGCCTGTGCAAACTGGCCGTTATCTAGGAATTATTTTTAGCTGAAACAGAAGGTTTCTCAAGCCACCAGATCAGCATGGTAACTGCTTTGAGGGAGCCCTAATTTTGGTGCCGTATTACACCAGTAACCATAGACACTTAAAAATAGCTCAGTACAGATGTGACTTCTGTTTTTTTTTCTTTCAAGCAATATTCATCTGTGTACAGCTCATTCTGAACAGTAATTTCACCTTCCTCTATTAGTACTAGCACAAGCACATCCCAAGAAACAGGGGAAAACGTCATATTTTCCCACCACGTAAAGTTAAGACGTTTTGTTCCTAACAGTCATATTTAAGAAAGCTGCAGGAACCTACATGTATTTGGCACCTGAACGGCTTCCCCCTCCCCAGTTCAGTTCCTTCCCTACTCTCCCCATCTCAGCTCCCCCCGCAGTAAGCACCTGCAAATTTGACCCAACCCAATCTCTAATTCTGCACATGCTTTGACCGAAATAGAAGCATCTTCAGCCTTTCTTGTAGTTATACACACCATCAACTGCCACTGTTTGTAACCCTCTGGTACTCAAGCTGTTAAATTCTAATTTACATGCATGTTGAAACAAGGAAAACACTCAAGACTACATATAAACTTACAAAACTATCCAAGAAAATTCAGTTCATGATGAAAAACTAAGAAACATGTGCTGCTCTTAAGGAATATTCAGAGAGTCCCACTTCAGCATCTCAAAGCAGATTAACACTCTGCTAATTACAACCTAGTTACCACTATCAAAATTCTGATTATTACACAGATTATTGCACTAAAAAAAAATAATGAACAAGACTAGCATTGCTAGTACGCATCCTAAGGCAAACATCATTTATAGTCCACTGTTTTTTAAAAACTCTAGTGAGATTCAATCAGACCAGGATCCATGCAGGAGGTTTTGTCCCCTGTCACTGAAATAGCTGTTTTATTTTGGGCTAGAACCAGCAGCATCCTCCTTTCGGCACCTGGCTGACAGAGCTGCCACTTTGCCGACCCTCTGTTATATTCCTGGCTGATTCCCTTCCCTGGTTAATTAGGGTATTAAACATGAAAGTTGTTTGCTGTGTATTAGAAGCTGAGAGTATCCTTGACAGCGTTCATTAGTCTAACACTGGGAATAGGTAAAAAAAAAAGACACAGTAATTTAAAAGCCTCACAAATAATGAGATTCAACAGGTCAGGAGGCCTCTAGAGAATTAAATTAAGGAAGCAGTAGTCTGTTTTAAACTCTTATTTTATGTCCTGCTTCCCCCAGTCATCAAGTACTTTTAAGATTTTTTTCCTTCTTGCAAGAGAGAGATTTACATAGGAAAGTCCCAGTTGGAAAGTCTCCCATCACTGACACTGCTTTCAACCCCACCGTGACATTTGCGCTGCGCACAAATCCTACCGCCCTCAAAAGTTAATGGCAAATCTTCTCCATAGCAACACTCATTAGGCAGCAAAAGAGGAAGGCAACAAATCGGGGAGCTAAGGCACAGTGGAAGAAAAAAAACTTTTTTATTCCAAAAAAACTAAATAGCTAAACAAATATGCTTTAACGTCATCACCTGAATTTGAGAACTTGTTAAATCACTGAAATTATCTTTTTGGTCCAATTGAGAGGAGGCTCACTAAAAAGCATTTAAAGCTCTGCCAAAGCAGGGCACAATCGTGACATATACCAGTACTACACTTAAAACCAGATGGTTACGCAGCTGCCAGCTTCTTGTCATACCCAGTAAAAATAATAATAAAAGGACAAAGAGCCCTTTCTATCTGCCCCAATTGAACCGGATCTCGCCTTCTTCAAAGCTCTACCTTTGGCCTTTACTCGACAGTGCAATTAATTAAACAGCTGAAAACGAGGCAGGCAGAGGTCAGCGACGTCCTCCTTCCACCCGCAACGCCCCGGTGCTGTGCACCGCGTGCGGGGCTCAGCGCTGCTTCGCTGCTTTTCCGTTCAACCCTGGCTGTAATTACAGGTACCTGGCAGCTCTGTCACCAAAAACTCTTCTCTGGGAGGTAGGGGCTCAAATAAGTGCATTAAATAATTATTTTTCATTATTATAATGAAGTGCATAATCCTAAAATATTTCAATTTTTTAATAAGGAACTGCATCATTTTAAAATATTTATAATTATTATAAGGAACTGCATCGTTTTAGAAGAGCTATTTTTTAAAATTACAAGGAACTGCATAATTTTTAAATAGATTTTCTTTTGGTTAACCTGAAAATACGTGGGTCCATCTCAGACCCACGTGAAAGCCACAGCGGCTGAGGGTGGCAGAATGTTTTAAGCTGTTCTGATTAATTTTGCTACATTTCCTTCCAGGAGGAAGATTAAGTGAGAGAAGAGGCATTTCTAGAACTTAAGCAGCTTTACAGGAAAAGTTAGGTGCAGATCCTCTCAAGGTGCTCTCCAAAGGGAAAGGAAAGTGTTTGCAGTCTTTTCAGCTGCTTCATGACGTGCAAAGCTGTTTGCTCCTCTAATAACACGTCGTACAGCCTTCAAAGTTTTCCTTGTCGCTCGCTGCTAATTTTGCCAAAATTCAGCTGCAGATTTTTATCTAAGCTTTCATGCTGAGCTTTCTGGGAAGTTTAATTGTAAATAAAGGAAAAAACAAACTGGAAATTGCTCCTTTCTTTATTTCCCAGCACAAAAAAGTTTGTATTTTTCTTCTTAACTTATGATGACCATCATGTCTTTCCTGCTACATTTTGTCAGAGTACTCCGGACCTAGTGAGACTGGTGTCACAAGGTAAAATATGGGCAAGGAGAAGCGTGCTAGGCTTTAATGCCCAACTTAATTCAAGCCTTTTTGAAAGTTTCATTGTGCCACCACAAAAATTAAGAAGTTATTTACAGCAGAGTTCAGGTTCTTGAAAAACTCCCCTTCCTTACAGAGTGCTTAAGTTAAACACATACCTTTTTGCATCTAAAAGGTATATAAATAACATTTTAACAGTCAGCAAAGAGTTGCATTACTTTACCAGAAACACTACCAATCAAACCTCAAGGTTGCCAGTAACTGGCATGAGATGGTTTCAAGCATCTATAAATATCTTACAGGAGTTCAGTCATCAGAACAGAAGAAATAAAACTCCTAAATATAAAAAACTTTTGATACTCACAGAAACTGCACAGTTTAGATGTGTGTATCAAATAAAGCTTCAGCAGATCCCTAGCAGCCTCCAAACACTGCTACTGTGAACAATTTGCACCCGTAAAGTCTTGCACCAAGTTTACCAGGCTTGGCACGGCGTTTCCTCGGGACACAGGCGAGGTTTCCATGGATTGCTGCACCCACCACAGTACTGCCATCAGTGAACTTTCCATTTCCTTGTCCTACTCGACAGCGTGGCCTTATAAAACAAAATTTCCCCACCAGCACTTTCACATCACTATGGATTTAGCAAGGTTAGAAAATAAAGAGGGGGGAAAGTTTTTATAGAGAGATAATCCATGTGATCCATGAGCAAACTCTCTTTCCTGGACCACATCTGAACTTCACATCTCTCACTTTCAGAAATCAGAGCATCATTCTTTGAACTGGAATAGGACAGACATACAGAACAAATACCTTACTTGGATTAATTGTGTAAGCCAGTAAAGAACTTTCCAAGGCAACCCACACACAAACTTACCCCTTGGCTTCCTTGAAACTGGATTACTGGTTTTGATGTCACAGCATCCTACAAAAACAAGTGGGAAAAAAAAAAAAAGATTACCTTAGAGAAATTTAAAGCTCCAACATTCACTGCCAAAAAATACTCAGCTTGATTTTTCACCTATATTCCCCCCCCCCCCCAAAGGAAAAAGGCTCAGGGAAATATACAGAATTCCAAGCGAGAAAACATAAAACCTCCTGAAACAGTGATTTGTACCTAGAAAAGGGATAAAACTGTAACGTGGCCAGTGGCTAATCAACTTCACTCTTGAAAGCCATCCCCCCTTACTTCAGAAAATCTCCGAGAGGGCACCCAGACGGGCTGCACTTAGCTCCCTCCTGACCCCTAAACCACATTTCAGGCATGGAACAGCTCGGCTGTGTCTCTTTGGTGCTTATGTAAGTTTTGAGTTAAACAGTGGATATTTGAAGGGAAAATTTATTGCAGTTCTAGGTCTGCGATCGCGCTAAGCACATTTTTTCCAATTGAAAGCTGGCAAATTGTTGGAAAAGCAAACTGCAACTTCATTGCAAAATACTGTTGTTACGTTGCCTATTTCAACAATCGGCCTCTTCCTCCGTACTAATTTGCTTACATTTCAAGAAGTCGCGCTCCTGCAAGCTTGAAAACCCCTTCAATCTGTCCAAGACAGAAACCCCACTGAATTCCAGCCTTTTTGCACCCTGATTTGAGCTTTTCCATCACGAAGGCTTTGGAA